CTTCAAGCAGCCACAGCAGCTGGAGCTGAGCCGATCTGAAGCCAGGAGCCAGGAGCTTCTTTCAGGTCTCCCATGTGGGTGTAGGGTCCCAACACTTTGGGCCGTCCTCAACTATTTCCCAGGCCACAAGCAGGGTGCTGGATGGGAAGTGGAGCTGCCAGGATTAGAACTGGTACCCATATGGGATCCTGGCTGGTGTGTTCAAGGTGAGGACTTTAGCTGCTAGGCTACTGTGCTGGGCCCAGATCTTTTGACTTTTTCTTAACAGCACCTTAACAATGATCTTTGCAGCACTTTCTTTCTTTCTATTTTTTTTTTTAAGATTTATTTTCTTTTTATTGGAAAGGCGGATAGACAGAGAAGAAGATCTTCCGTCTGATGATTCACTCCCCAAGTGAGCGCAACAGCCAATGCTATGCCGATCTGAAGCCAGGAGCCTCTTCCGGGTCTCCCACGTGGGTGCAGGGTCCCAAAGCTTTGGGCTGTCCTCGACTGCTTTCCCGGGCCACAGGCAGGGAGCTGGATGGGAAGCGGGGCCGCCGGGATTAGAACTGGCGCCCATATGGGATCCCGGGGTGTGCAAGGCGAGGACTTTAACCACTGTGCCACCGCGTCGGGCCCTGCAGCACTTTCTATATCAAAAGTGGAAGCCTGAAGTCAAAACTGTTGTGTTCTACCTTGATAGTTGCATGTTTATCGATAAAGGGCTTGGTTACATAGAAACAGATAAATCCTGAGTTGGAGTGCTGAGACAGGGTGACTGTGGAATTAATTAACATTGCTGCCAGCCTTGTAGAGTGATGTTTGTGTTTCCTGAAACTTGTCATGAGTCAGATAGTGCCTCAGGCAGTTACTTCAAGGTTTCTTGGCAAGGTCGGTGCCTCATTTTAAATCCTCTAGTCTCTGGCTAGACAAATTTCCTTACTCCTGGGCTGATTATGTTGCTGAATTTGTGTCACAATCTGCCAAGGAAGGTGTTTTCACATGCCGCCTTCTGCTGGCTTTTCCTAAACCTTGAATAGGGATGTAGCCCTTGTATTAGCCATTGTAATGGCAAGCTTATCTTTGTTTCTGCCTAGTCTTTTATTTATTTTATTTATTTTTTTAAAGATTTATTTATTTATTTGGAAGTCAGATATACAGAGAGGATGAGAGACAGAGAGGAAGATCTTCCATCTGATGATTCACTCGCCAAGTGAGCACAACAGCCAGTGCTATGCCGATCCGAAGCCAGGAGCCAGGAACTTCTTCCAGGTCTCCCACACAGGTGCAGGGTCCCAAAGCCTTGGGCCATCCTTGACTGCTTTCCCAGGCCACAAGCAGGGAGCTGGATGGGAAATGGAGCTGCCAGGATTAGAATCAGTGCCCATATGGGATCCCGGCGCGTTCAAGGCGAGGACTTTAGCTGCTAGGCCACGCTGCCGGGCCCTATTTATTTATTTTTTAAAGATTTACTCTTCGGGCCCGGCGCGGTGGCGCAAGTGGTTAAAGGTCCTCGCCTTGCACGCCCGGGATCCCATATGGGCGCCGGTTCTAATCCCGGCAGCCCCGCTTCCCTTCCAGCTCCCTGCCTGTGGCCCAGGAAAGCAGTCGAGGACAGCCCAAAGCTTTGGGAACCTGCACCCGCGTGGGAGACCTGGAGGAGGCTCCTGGCTTCGGATTGGCATAGTATCGGCCCGTTGCGCTCACTTGGGGAGTGAACCATCAGACGGAAGATCTTCCTCTCTGTCTCTCCTCTCTGTATATCCGCCTTTCCAATGAAAAAATAATAAAAATAAATCTTTAAAAAAAAAAAAGATTTACTCTTCTATTAAAGTCAGGTAGAGAGGACGAGACACAGAGAGGAAGATCTTCCATCTGCTGATTCACTCCCCAAGAGGCCTGCAGCGGCCGTAGCTGAGCTGATCCGAAGCAGGAGGCTGGAGCCTTTACTGGGTCTTCCATGTGAATGCAGTGTCCCAAGGCTTTCAGTTGTCCTTCACTCCTTTCCCAGGTGGCAAGCAGGGAGCTGGATGGGAAGTGGGGCCTCTGGAATTAGAACTGGCCCGTGCAAGGCAAGGACTTCAGCTGTTAGGCTACTGTGCTGGCCACCCCTCCCTCCCCCAGTCTTGAGAGCTTTGCTGCAACACATTCTCAAGCCAGTGTCTACCACTGTCTCATGGTGTGACATCTCAATTGCTAAAGAGTTGTCAGGTTTAGTTTCAGCGGTAGCATAGGTCCAAATATATCAGTACTTTCTACTGTTCTGAAAAGAACATGCAAGACCAGTGAGAGATCTGAGACAGGGGGCAGTGAAATGATTAGAGGAGGAGCTGTTGCTGATACCATTCGTTGGCAGTTTTCAAAATTAGTCCCTTGACCTGCCTTGGTTTCCATTCTTTGCTGAGGAGGTTGGAGGTGCTCCCAGGACTGTGGTCCTTTGTGCAGCAGAGCCTTGGCAAATCTTAGTTTGCATTCCCTTTGGTTTGGTTCAGGAACTACTCTCAAGTTATGGAGACTCATCCAGGTTGATGTCCTTTTTTACTAGTTGCTAGCTTCTAAATTGATCAAACGTATTTACAATGGAAATATCACCTTGTAAATGCCGTTACATTTGCCTCTCGCAAAAATGTTAGATTCGCTGATCACTAGAGAAAGAATAACTCAGCCGAATATATGAAAAGAATTTAGGTGGCCTTTATTTCAGGGAACCATGGTTACGGGCTTCCCTTCCCCATGCAGCAGAAAGCTAGATGTGAAGGAGTTGCAGAGAAAGAAGAGTGTGGAAGAGACGGGGAAGGGGCTTTTTAAACTCTCCTCAACACAGAAGCCGAAATGAGGTCACCTCGGCCCTTATTGGTGTGGGGAGATATTGGTCTGTGCCATTCATTGGTGCAACGTTGGTCTCACAGCCTGAGGGGCCCGCCAGAATTCTGCCATCCATTCTGGGTTTGGTTGGAGGCAAACTCTACCCTTCTCCGGTTACTGTGGTAGCCATCAGCTGCTGCTTATCATCCTTAACAGCTGCTTTTTGTCTGGCAAATCCAAATACAGTCTTTCATCATTCAGATTAAAGAACCACCACTTGAGTCCGGCACGGTGGCCTAGCGGCTAAAACCCTTGTTTTGAACACACCAGGATCCCATATGGGTGCCGGTTCTAATCCCAGAGGCCCCACTTCCCATCCAGCTCCCTGCTTGTGGCCTGGGAAAGCAGTTGAGGACAGCCCAAAGCCTTGGGACCCTGCACCTGTGTGGGAGACCTGGAAGAGCTCCTGGCTCCTGGCTTCGGATCGGCACAGCACTGGCTGTTGTGGTCATGTGTTCAATTGAGAAGTGAATTGTTGGACGGAAGATATTCCTCCCTATCTCTCCTCTCTGTATATCTGACTTTGCAGTAAAAATAAATAAATCTTTAAGGAAAAAAAACCACTCCCTTTGCTATGGTGATGGCCAACATTACTATTATTATATCCATTCTTGTTGAATCCAAGTTTAAATGTATTTATTATACTGTGTTCCAAATAGCCACAAATAATTAAGAGTTGGCTTGTAAGATGAAACCTGCATTGGCTTGGCTTCCAGAAGAGGCAATCTGAGACATATGAGAACAGGGGGAAGTTATTCTAGAAAGCATCGTAGTTGCCACTGTAGGTGCCTGCATTTCAAGCCCACTAGATTACTCAGAATTATAGCAACTAACAGATGAAGAAGCTGGAGTGTTTTTGTACCACTGTTAGTTGAGGTCTGATTGTAGGGTACAAGCATTTCCTGTCTTGTCTTGGTTCAAGCCAAGGTCACCCCATTTGCTAGTAAGAAAGTTACAGGAAGAGCAGTTAGTAACTCGTGCAGAGGTGTATGCCAGAGGCAGGCTAGCTCCAGGAGCAGATCCCTTATGCAGTTTACCTGGTTTTATTACTCTGTTACTACCTTTATGAAACTTTATGTAATTTTGAACAAGGAACTGCAGTTTTTGCTTTTCACTGGATTCCATAAATTCTGTAGGTAAACTGCTGTATCAGGGGCTGGGGAATGTCTGGCCCACTAACCATTTAAGACTTGTAAAATCACTTGTCTGGCCCTGCCAAGGATATCACAGGTGGAACTTGCAATTCAGTAACTATATAGCAGGCTGATTTTTAAGTTGATAATTTTGTATGGCCTTGAATATTATTAATATCCAGTGGTCTTTTGCAGAAAAAGGGTCCCCCTCCCATCTGCTTAGTAAGGGAATATGAGTAGGGCACTAGGTGATAGATGCGAAACAAATTGGCTGGTGGCCAGTAAATCTTTTGACAATGGTTAAGTATGGATTCCGCTAGAGACTTGTATCTTCCATTTTTGGAGCCACAAATCCAGTTATAAAACAAAATCCACAGTTTGAAGTTATCTTGACTAAAATTATAAGGCCAATTTTGGCAGCAAATCTGCATAATTATTCAGTAGTGGTTGAAAAGTCTCAAATAAAATAGTTTGCCTTTTCTTTTTTCTTCCTAATTCAAAGTAACTTTCCTAAACACAATCTTGTTTGGAGTGAGAAACATTCCTTTTGTGACTCCGAACACCTTCCCCAGGCCTTATAGGGTGCGGACTCTTCCATGATCTCCCTGTAGGGGCTGTCCGAGGCTCATACCCGTGAGCCTGAGAAAACCAAAGCTAAGGTGGCTCCGGATTAGGCAGAGGACTGCAGGATAAAAGCAACAATTCTTCCCAGAATCCTGCCTCATTTATGTTTGGCTTAAAGGGTTATTCTCTTTTTAATTTTTTATTTTTAAAGATTTATTTTTATTTTTTTTTATTGGAAAGGCGGATATACAGAGAGGAGAGACAGAGAGGAAGATCTTCCATCCGATGATTCACTCCCCAAGTGAGAGCAATGGTTGATGCTATGCCAATCCAAAGCCAGGAGCCTCTTCCAGGTCTCCCGCGTGGGTGCAGGGTCCCAAAGCCTTGGGCCGTCCTCGACTGCTTTCCCAGGCCACAAGCAGGGAGCTGGATGGGAAGCGGGGCCCCTGGGATTAGAACCGGCGCCCATATGGGATCCCGGGCGTGCAAGGCGAGGACTTTAACCACTTGCGCCACTGCGCCGGGCCCCAAACTGATGAACAATCTTACAAGAAAGACTCTGTAAGGAAAGATTCGTGGACACCTCTAAGGAAGGGTCGGGAAGAGCCCCTGGACTGGCCATGCAGTCAGCTGCTGAGAGGGGCTGCAGCCCAACTCCACTGGGACACAGAGGCCCTGACACCAGGATCCTGCAGTCAGAAGAGCAGGTAACCAAGGTGGGAGTTGAGGGCAGCTGGCCTGGGAGGTGAGGGCAGTGTCAGGGATGGGCCTGGAACCTGCGGGTTGGACACTAACTGCAGGTGTCCCTGCCAGGATTCAGGGCAGGACTGCTAGTTGGTGTCAGAGAAGCAGAGACCTGCTTGGACGAGATAAAAGCCACTCCCTCACTGACCCATAGAAAGAAGAATTCTGAGGGAGAGTCAGGAAGTGAACCTTGTCTCCTCTGGAGCAAACAAAAACATTTCCATCACACCACAGAGCTGCTAAATGTAGGACGCCCAAGATGTCAGCATGAACAGAAGTCCTAGTGCAGGCCCAAGGCCAGGGTCAGGGATGTGAGCTGTGCCCTCTGTGCCCAGCAGCAGGGCTGTGGTTCCCAGCTGGGACCAGCCAGGGTGAGGCCATGGATTCTGCTCCTGGCTGTGCAGCCTCAACCAGGTTCTCTGCATTTCCTCTGCCTTCATCAGCTACAGTGTGACACAGCCAAGGGAAGGGTAACTTAGCAACTTCTGGATTTCACTGTGGGCTTCAAGGCATGAGAATCTGTGTGGGGCACCATGTGAGGCAGCAGGATCCTGGGATGTTTCATATTCTCAGCTGTGTGCTCTTCCTGAACCTTCCTCCTGCTCTGCCTCACCAGGAGAGAGGGTACTGTGTATCTCCAATGTCCTGTGTCATCAGTAACCAGCTGTGCCCTTTATTTAACCCTTACTGAGAACCATGGCACTTGGCACAGGGGTGGAGATGCAACTTGGGATGCCCAATCCCATCTCAGTGCTCATTTGGAGTCCTGGCTCTACTTTCTGCCAAGCGTCCACCCAGTGCACGCCTGGGAGGCAGCACATGATGCACCAGGACCACTGGACTGAGTTTGTGTTCTGGGCTTTGGCTTGCCACTCCTCGAGCTGTGTGGACATTTGTGGATGTCCGGGTACGGGAGAACACTCTCCTTTTCAAAAAGACAAAAAACAACTTCAAATAAATAAAAATAATTTTTGTGCCTCCACTATCTTATTCACAGGCCCAGGGGTTCCCAGTGTGGGTGACAGCTGTGTTGATCATGGGGCTCTCAGAGAACACAGGTGCCTTTGACCTTGGCTGTGCCCTGTCTGGATGTGAACACTGGGAGCTGAAACATCACAAGGTAAGAATGTAGTGACTGCCCCTCCCCCTGAAATCCCAGCTAACCAGGAAGGTGCCTGGTGAGGGTGGGGCCTGGGCTTGGGACTCCCTTTCCCTGTCTGGCACCATTGCCCAGCACAACAACTTGGAGTTTGTCAAAGCTCAGAGGGGAAGTGTGGCTCAGAACCAGGTATATGTGTTTCCCACTTAGTAAACCTGGATCATAAGTGACACTGCTGTAAACTAGGCTGCCTGCCCCCAGGTCTCTGGCAGAGCCGTCCCTCACTGTGTGGTGTCCAGGGCCCAGGTGTGCTCATTTGACCATCTTTCAGGGGAGGCTGAGGTCCAGGTGGGAATCCTGTCTTCCCTCCTGCTGCCAGAGTGTGTTCTGGAGGCAGTGCCATCAGCACCCATCTGAGCCACTTGCAGACCCCTGACTGCTCCAGACTGTCCCAGCCCTCCCAGTGCTCACGGGATCCCCTCAACATGTCTGTGGACCCTCGTTCTCCCAGTGACCCTAGCCCTGCAGGTAGTGGGGCTGTGGTTTTACCACCTTCCTTCTCCCCCTCGACTTAGCCCTGCAGGCCCAGTGCTCCTTCTTGCACCCTCTCTCATCACTCTTCACTCACTCCCTGGGTGCTCCATCTCTGCTCCTGAATGCAAATGTGGTTCATGTGGAGCCGACTCCTCAGTGAGTCTCCCACACAGACATTTCCCCTCGTCAACCGACTCGTGGTCACCCCCAGCCCTGCAGTGTCACTCATTTCTCACCAACATCCTGGTTTCTGCACTGAATGCCTGGGTGGTGCCTTATGGAATGCACCCTCCCAGTTGCCCTTCTCCTACGGTGATGCCATCCCCACACTGGCTCGGCCTGAAGCCCTGGGTGTCCTCCTCACCTCCTCCTCTTCCCCTGGATGCAGCCCACAGAAAGTGCTGTGCATCTAGCTGCAGAAGGATCCAGAACCTCATCTCCCACTCTGCCCATGCCCACACCCACCACAGTGACCGGCATCCCTGTCTGGGCTTCACAGGATCCCCTAGATCTATGTATCCAGCCTCGCAGTCTCTCAGCCCCATCATCACGCAGCAGCCAGGGTGGTCCCTGGACAGAAGGTGCACATGTCCTTCCTATGCTCCGAGCTGCCTCATGGCTCCCATCTCACTCAGAGCCAGGGCCCAGTCTCAGTGTGCATGAAGCCTGCTGGATGGTGTTGTCCCGACCAGCCTTCCTGATGGCTCCCTGCTCTGTGTGCAGACTTGCTCCTGCCCAGGGCATTTGCACTGGCCGTCCTCCTCCCCCACAGCAGCTTTGCAGATGACTAACTGTGTCCTTCCAACCTTACTCAGGGTCACCACCTCGGGACAGTGCTTGCTGACCATGATGGTGAGACAGCCAGCTGCTCTGGCCCTCACACTCAACCTGGACCACCTTGCCCAGCACTGAGTCTGACCCACAGCAAAGTCGACTGAATGATAAGGATGTTGCACCTGCCCCTTCCAGACCCCATGATTCATTAGTGGATCATGCGACAGACGCCACTTGTGGCTGCTGCAGAGCAGGTCTCCTCCTGCTGGAGTCCCCACGGCCTGAGCTTTCTCACAAATGTCCTCTGCCCTCTTGCTTCCCTCCTACACTGCCTCCTGCACACACAGAAGTGAAGGCCACCAGAGCTCACACACAGGAAGAGCAGGTGCAATCAGCCAGTGACACTAAGGAACAAAATGAACATAGGATGATGGAGCTGAGGGATGAACTTAAGCTCTAGATTTGGTGGCCATGGCCCCATGCAGCCTCCATAGCCTTGGGTCCATGAGATAGGGCAGCCTGGCCATAGGTGAGTCCTATGTTGGCATGTGTTGGTGAGCACATGCTGCCAATAAAACCAGGACGCTGGGACAGCTGAGCCGGGTCAGCAATGACCACGGGAAAGTGTGATGGATGGAGCACTGCCTGGGTACAGCCTCATCCTCACCCAGAGCCTCCCAGCCTCTCCCATCCCCACCTGCTATGACTCAACACAGGAAACAGATTCTGGAAGGTTCCTGGTGCTTCTGTTTATTTTCTCTGTCCAATTTTTGGAATTTTCCTCTTAATTTTCTCACCAACATCTCGTGATTGGAATTGGAAAAAATGAATTGCACAGGGAAGAATGAAGCTGCAGCAGATGCACCAGACAGCAGGTCTGTCCCCACAAGGGGGTTGTCTCACACTACAGAAACAAGGTGAAATTTGAGGTCATTGCATATGAGGACAGGAACAGCACAGCACACTGTGAAAATGTCCAGATACAAGGAATCCACAGCCTCTCTGTGTCCCCTCACTCAGGACCCTCCACCGTTGAGGCCCTCCAGGTCTCACCTTTCAAGGTGTGAGAGAGGAGTCGGAGCCCTGGTCACTGTCCCCACCTGGGAGAACCAATCGGGACTTGGTGAGAGCCTAGGGGGTGTGGCTGAGGGAGGAGCTATGGAGTGGGTGGGCAGCACCTCCAGGGGCAGCTGACTAGAGCAAGGGCTTTGGGGACTCCTCCACCCCCAAACACACCCCAGTGCTTACCTGCAGCCTTAGTGTAGTTCCCTTGAAGAACCTAGGCATTTTCTGCCTTTTGTGATTCTGCCTTAATGGCTTGGCTGGAGGCTGTGTGAACTCCAGGCCTGATAGTCTAGGTGACACCCAGCAGGACACCTGGCAGGTCACTAGGCAGACCACTCCTCAGGAAGGAGGTACCTGGTGTTTGATAAGATTCAGAACAACATTCGTCAAAGATTGCATCTTTTGGTTGGTAAAGATAATTGTGCAGAAAAATTTTGGTTACAGAAACGACTTTGGAAAGCCTTGCCAGTGAGGAGCCAGGATTAGTTGCAATCCTGCCACCAGGAAGGCTCCAGGTGGTTGATGTGAAAATTTACATGAGAGGAACTCCTTGGTCCTCAGTTTAGATAACAGGTCAAAAAGAGGTGCTTTTTCCCCAAGTAGGGGAACAGGAAACTAACACTAAGAAAAGGCATCTGCTAGAGAAAGAAATTGTTTACTAGTATACTCCCTCTTGTTGTTATGTAAATTCCTCAAACCTTCCTTCCTGATATCTAAGTGACCATCTGGTTGTGGTAAGAGTGTGCAAAATCCTACAGGTGGTTTCGCAGTGCTATCTGAATGTGGCAAGCTATGTAGTCTATTTTAAGTGGCTTATGGATGAAAATGCTCATGAATGAGAACTGCTAAGCTAAATTCTTTTTGAAAATAATGTATGGATACACAATTAAGCTCTTAGAGAGTCATGTCTGTGTCTCTTTTCTCAGCACCTACAAAGTCTGTTCAGCTGAATAGTTCTGAATGTATTCAAATGGACTTACTGCTAAGGGCACAGTTTTAAAACGCCATAGGACGCCAAATCCCCACGAACTAGGTGGTAAAATGTATGGCTATATATATGAAAGTGTTCAATGAAGAGTCAGATGTCGGGTAATGTTAAAATGCTGCTACATGGGAAACGGTTCTTAAAGCAGACTCAGACTGACAATCTTGAGTAGCACTCAGTGGCCTCAGAATCAGCCCAAAGGCATTCTGGTCTGACAGGAGAGCCAGCAAGAAAGCAAGCATATCAGGTGTGGAAATTCCAGGACACTGCTGCAAAGAGTGTCCTCCTCTGTGAAGGACCTCAGCGGTCCATGCCCCAGTGCAAAGAAGTAGCCATCAAAGATGGTTGTGCTCTTCTCTCAATGGAGGAGAGAACTTCCACTTTGTGTATGGCCTTGTCTAAGGAATTCTGGGGGTGTTGTGGATTCAAGAGGCTTCCATGGCCTAAGCATCATGTGTCAAGAGCCGCAGGTGATCACTGACGTCACACCTAAGTGCTAATTTGTTAAATTCACTGGAGTCACTGTGTACTGACTTCCCATGCAGGACCTGTATCTTCAGAGTTATACTAGAAAGATATGTTATTAATATCCATAGATGTTTCCAAGTAGTGACTTGTGGATCTTTTTTTTTTTTTTTTTAGGGTACATGGCCTTTGTTAGGAAGGCTGGTATGGAGCTTTTATTTTTTTTTTGTTTGTTTGTTTTGTTTTGTTTTGACAATCTTTACATAGTTAATTTGGGCAAAAAGGGTCAAGGGCTACAGGAAAGTGGGAAAGACTATTATTTCCATATTGTTTCCTTCACATATCTGAGGTAGAGGGGGATATTGAGGGAGAAGCCCCACCCGGTTTCCCACCCACCCCAAGTCCCGCATGTGGGGCATGCTCTGAGATACTCGCTCAAGTGGTTTCAATAGTTCACCAGTTTTGAAATTGCTGCCAATCTCGCCTCTCCAAACACGATGAGGTTGTTGAAAAATCCATTAATTGACATTGTCCATTGTCGCTGTTCCGCAGCGACGGACTTGGTGCACGGAGCCTATAATAACACGGGTGGACCCTGACTGATGGTCAAAGCTGAAGTTTATTAGGGGCATCAGACTTTTATACACTGAGAGTCCGTACTGTTTCCCCCTCTTGATTGCTGGTAGTTGCAATTGCTGGGTTGGTTCTGTTTTCAGTCCCGCCTTCTACTGGAACCAATGGGTGTTGCATTCCAGCCTGGTTCTGCACAGCACATACTCGATCCTCACCTAAACCAGTGGGAGCTGCATCTTGGTGAGAGAGACCCACAATAACCCCCACCAGGCCAACCTCCTACCCTGGTTTGCCAGTATGTGTGGCAGACCAGTTCAATCTGTTCCTCATCCCCCCTGGCTATCGTACATGGCAAATGGCATTGAAGCTTAGATTCATCTAACCAGCTCAACAGTCAAGCCTTCACGGGTGTGGTTGAGTGCCTCTCTGTCTAGCTACCACAGCCTCCGTCCTAGTTCTCGTGCCCTCTCATGGGAGTGGTAACCCAAGAGGGGGGAACCCACTATTTCCCTCCCAGGTCTCTCACTCCCAGATTGTGCACTTTCCAGGTGGTTCTGCAGTTTCCCCCAGTGCCAGTTTTTGCCAGCTGATGCTGCGGCTATGCCCAAACAGCCCTCTCCTATTCTAATTGTAGGTTGCACCCATAGGAACAATCAGACCATCCTGGCTTTTCCCTGATATAGTCCACATGAGGCGCACAGGTGTTGTAGCCCTGCTTAGACTGGTCTGCCCCCCTCCCAGTTAGTGCTCTCCAGTGGGAGTAGCTGTCCAGCAGGGGAACCACCCCTTATTTCCCTGCTGGCTCTGTCCCCTCCCTTCCTGGTTCTCACGTGTGCTGCCTGGGCACTGCAGTCACATCTGGCACAGACAACCTCATCCTGGCATTCTGTAGTGGACTGGTTTTTATCGCAACCAAACCTGGCTCGACCCTTACTCTGTTGTGGTGCTCGGGATTTGCCAGTGATGACGTTAACTGATTAGCCTGGTCTGCCCCCAATCCATGCCTAATGTATGCCAGTGGGAAACTTCTTGTGGCCTGCTCTGGGCTGTTTCCATTCATGCTTCTTGCACTTACCCGTGGGGTCTGTGTCCTGCCAGAGGAGTTGCCCAGGCTCCTCCATCAGAACCTCTCCCAGTGCCAGATTTTGCGCATGCCAGTGGGTCCATTCGACCCAAGCTGGTTCTTGTTGTTGGATGTTTCAGCCCAGCCATGGCTCGTCCAGTCCATTCCCACATACGGCTCACACATGGTTCAGTAGGGGTTGCAACCTAGCCTAGTCCATCCCACGTCTATCCTGGTCCTCCAGGAGCACCAGACAGTGCTGGGGTCTGGTCCAGCCTGGTGCGTCCAGTCCCAGTCCACACTTGTGCCAAGGGGGATTTCACTGTTACCTGATCAGAACGCAGCCCCCATTCCAGCCCACGTGCTCCTTGGTGGTAGCCGTAATCCAGTCAGTGCGTCTACTGGACAAGCCCCGTGCCATAGCTTTAGCATGAACTGGTATTTGGTGGTCAGTATTGCTAAGTGGTAACATATTCTTTAAAGGAAGAGTAACTGTCATTGGGAACGTTTAGGATGTATTCACCTCGTAGAAACACATTAGGTTTAACGTGGAGCCCCATAAGCAGCAATTCAAACCACCAAAATCCCAGAGCTCCCCTGCCGGGTGGCCAGCAAACAAAGCCTGGCACCAAATGGCACACTGGCCGCCCAAGCCCAGCTCACCATGTGCCCATGATGGCGGGCTTATGGGATCCGGGCATGAGACACCCTGTCCCGGGACCCACCTGCTGCCGAGAGGCGATGGGAAGTGTAACCTCCCAGGCCCAAGGTTGCGCCCTACGCCGCTCCCGTCCGCCGCCCAATGAGAGCGGTGGGTGGGCCTGCCTAGCCCGGCTCCAGCGACCTCCCCCCTCGGTCAGTGTACTCACCCCGAAGGGAGCAGCCCTGGAGCCCAGGCAGGCCCAAGCCCAGCTCACCATGTGCCCATGATGGCGGGCTTATGGGATCCGGGCATGAGATGCCCTGTCCTGGGACCCACCCACTGCCAAGAGGCGATGGGAAGTGTAACCTCCTGATCTAAAAAGCCTTATTAGTAAGAAGAGCTTGGAATACAATGGCTACCAGCGGCCTGTAAGTTAGTTGGCCTATGACTGCTCAACCAGTACCACAACTAAGCTTTAATGGGGTAGAACACCCTGAATGCTCTGTGGCAGAGCTCATGCCTTCCTCACTTGCCAAATTGTTTGGGATCTCTTTGCTCACCTACTTAAGATTCTTGTGTTCTTCAATTGCAAGTACATGGCTTGTTAGGCTATAACTAATAGACTGCTTGCCTCTGTCTTAACTACAAACTACTGGGTTATTGTAAATGAGAACCAATTTAAATCTTTTGCCATCTACAGTGTGACTAGTAGGTCTTGCAACAGAATGTTTTCAGTGCTGTGCTTTATGTTCTAGGCTATGTGTTTCATCCTGAAACTCTTAGGGCTTACAACGATTGGTAAAGTATAATTGATTCGAAAAATCTAACACTTGCCAGTTCCTTACTGTTAGATTCACCAGTTTCAAGGGAAAGAATAACTGTAAAATGGATGTAAAAAGAATTTAGATGGGCCTCCACTCCCCAGGCAGCAAACAGACCTGAAGTGGAAGACTGCGGAGGAAGAAGGGCATGGAGCAGATGAGGAAAGGATCTTTTAGGCTCTCCTTGACACGGAAGCTGAAATGAGGGTCGCCTAGGCCCTTACTTGGTGGAATGATATGAGTTTGTCCCCCTCATTGGTGCAATGGTGGTTTCACAACCTGAGGGGCCCCGCCAGAGTTCTGCCATCCATTCCAGGTTTGGTTGGAGGCAAACTCCGCCCTCCTCTGATTACTGTGGTAGACATCACCTACCTAGATGTAAAACTGCAGTATTTTCAAATGTCAAATGCAATAATTGCCAAAGAGTCAGCTTGCATTTACCTGTCCTGTAATGAATGGGCTTATATCCTGATGCTATATGCTAATCCTTGCATTATTACTATGCCTTCTGATTGATCTAGACCAGCAATTTA